GGAAGGGCAGTCGGTCAAAGGCCACAACCATTCAAGTATTTCGATGTCAAAGTCAAACGATCTTAGATTAGTCGTAATTCTTATATGTTTATCATTTTGTCACCTTAATTATGCACAGAACTGTTCTTACGTTGTGTTCAGAAAAGACAACCGATCGGTTTTGCATGCCATCGAAAACCACTAAAGAGGAAATCATTACCTACTATCATTCCAAAGTAAATGAATTATAATATCGACAAGTAAAAAAAGTTAACGAACTTCGTCAATTTCCATAAATTTAATAGTTCATATAGGCCTACGCATTTCAGACGATAAAACTTTTACACGCACACATCAACTGAGTACAATCTTTATAGAGAAAATAAATAAGCAATGAAAGACCACTATATGAATTTATAAAGCAACCCTAAAGTATACAAACCTCAATGAAAATCTAAAATTTACATCCTTATTAAAAGAATAGGCTAACTGTAGACATTAAGATACATAAGGAACAACGTATATGACAATGCCTTCACCTTTGCTTCTTCTGCAATAATGTTAAGCTTTTCAAATTTATTGATTTTAATTTATTATTATTATATTAAGTTTAGAATACACCAAGATGAAATATCACTCGTCTCATAAATTCTAAATATTTTCTTTGAATAATTTAAAACAATAGACTTTTATACATTGATGCAACTTGACACAAATACACCACGTTATATTTACTACCATCACATTATGTATAGAGCCAGGATTTCAAAAGCAAGGGGGGGTGGAGGGAGATTTTGGAATATATATTGATAAGAAAATTTACTATCTTTGTAAGAGCATTTGCACTGTGTTCACCCGTGTCGTCCCAAACCCCTGATCAACTACATCACATGTAATTAATAAAATTCACAACTGCGTTTTATCGACCGTTGTTTCCAACACCCTCTCCCCCATACATGTAATATTAGCTGCCATTAATAATGCGAAAATGGAAGTTCTCTCTGTATCATTCATTTAACAATCATTCATTTAACAATCTAACATGCATGCTAATCCATTGAATTTGTTTGTCAGTTGCCAAGTTCGTTCACCATTTAACCTTACACTTCCACCTACAAATAGCATACTATTTTGAAACATAAGGCCTAAGTATGTTTATATTACGACATGGTACCTTTAGCAATGACTCGTATATAACAATAATGCTATAGTAAAGATGATGATGATGATGATGATAATGATGATGATAACAATAATAATATTAACAATAATAATAATTAGCACTAAAACAATAAAATAATAATTTATTATAATGAAATAAAACACTAACATTATAAGAGTGTTAATAATAATACTAATGGTAAAATAAACACAACATACTAGTGGTAGAAATAACTGTAATAGCAATACTGATGATTAAAAAATAATAATATCAATATTAGTAACTATTAATCATAAAATGTAATAGGATACAAATAACAGTAATATTAACAATAAAAATACCAATAACAATAATAGTATTACCAATATTATAATTGTATATACATATATATATATATATATATATATATATATATATATAATAATAACAATAATAATAATAATAGAAGCACGTGCTTCGTCACAGACCTCTGCGTAAAACTACAATTACTTTAAAATCAGACATTTTGAGGGCTTTAAAACGCAAAAATAAAAACAATAGCAATAACAGTGTTACGTCACGATACCACGTTATACTACTACGTTGCTATCGTTGCAAAATGAGTTCTACCGCACGCCATTTTTCACCACTGACTGATGATTAAATGTGTGTTCGATAACTAATATAATGCGAGCTTTTGTATTTTTAGTACATTCTGATGGTAAAATATTAGATTTTAAAATGCCTAATCCAGAAAGCCTATGAAGTCGTTCAGGCGTAATGAAAGGTAACCAACATGACGACACGACAGTGGTACTCTATAGTAAGGGATTGTCTCCCGGTGTACTTCCCAATCACCACCAGGACACTATTAGAGAGAATCCTTCAGATTTCTTGGGTTAACCTTGGTATGATTCACACCAAAATTACTCCTAACCTATCTAAATATTGATATTAATTACAATAACCATATTATAATAATGGCAATAATATAATAATGACATAATATCGAATAATAATAATAATAATGATATTATGATAAATGAGAAGGTAATGATAGTATTGCACAATAACATGCCTTAAGACATTCTTACTATTTTTAGCTTGTAGTACATTTGGTCACAAATGAATTATTCTATGCCTTAAATATTACAACTAGAAAACAAACATGGCTAATTTTTTTTTAATCACACTATTTTTCAGCTCATAGGCAGTTGTTCCTACAGAACCCAAATTTTTACACTTACAGTATTCTTAAATACTTAGATAAAGCGATGAAATAAAATTTATCAAGAATACCTAATCTTTTGTTGTATATCGCATAGCTTCATATTTTGAAATAAATACATCTTTCTGGGTGATAACACCATAATATTTCAGGTCCGTAATTAGGATTCCATAAAGGGGTTCCTATGAAAGCCAGAGGTGTAAAGGCTGTCTCT